TAACCCTAGAATTAGAGTAATTAAAAAGTGATTGCTTTGATTTGTTTTAGTTAGGATTTTTCTTCTCATAAAAAAACTAATTTTCTTTCTTTCTTAAAAAAAAATTATAAAAAGAAGTTGTTTTGATCTATGCAAACTTGGGTTAGGGATAATTCTCATCGTTTAATCCGTGTTGAACCAATCCAAGAAATGACAAATCAACCCGTTCTTCAGGATATGTGTTACCCCACCAGAAATGCAATTCCATCTTGCATAAGGCTCCCCGAAGCAAATGGAGAAAATTTTGAGCTTATACCGCAATACATAAACATGCTTCCCAAATTCCTTGGAAATGAAACCGAAGATGCATATATTTTTATTTTGGAATTTGAGGAAGTGTGTATTATGATTAAAATGAGAGAATTAACCGAAGATGTGATTAAGCTTAGATTTATTCCATTTGCTCTTAAGGATAAAGCTAAAAAATAGCTGTACAGTTTACCGACAAATTCCTTCTCAACTTGGGATGAATTTGTCACTGTTTTTCTTAAGAAAAATTTCCCTATTCACAAAACGGTAAAGCTAAGGAACAACATTCAAAACTTTAAAATTATCCCAGGAGAGCCATTCTAGAAATATTTCGACCGATTCAAAGATCTTTTAATCCAATTTCCTCATCATGGTCTAGAAAAATGGCGATTGTGCCAAGTCATATATGAAGGATTGGATTATTCTTCAAAAACATCTTTAGAATCAATGTGTCAGGGAGATTTTATGAGGAAAAATGTAGATGAAGCTTGGAAATTTCTAGAGAGTTTATCCGAGAAAACAATACACTGGGAACACTGTGATGATAGGGTTTCATCAGTCCTCAATTCTAAGTCTAGTGGTCCTTCCTTAGAGTCAAACATTACTTCTGAAGCGAAGATAACGATGATTCTGCGGAGGTTAGAACCTTTAGAAGTTAAGGAACGAGCTCCAGCTCAAATCAATCATGTTTCTACCCAAGGATGTCATAATTGTCAGTCTCCTACCCACGTTTCAGAGGAATGCCCTCTCCTAGGAAATAATCAGCCATTAGGACAGATGAACGCTATATTCCAGCACCCTAAAAATGATCCATTTTCTCCAACCTACAATTCAGGTTGGAGAAATCATCCAAACTTTGCATGGAATCAAGGAAATTCTCCCGAAACTCAAAACTTCACTCCCGCTTCAACCCAACAATTTCCTAGGGAAAACACAGTTCCTTTCAATCCACAATTTTAACAACCCAATCTACTGTATCAAAATCAGTCTCCTCTTTATCAAGCTGTAATTCAGACTCCTCACAATCCAGATCAGGATAAACGTCTCAATGTCTTAGAAAGGGGTTTGGAAACCATAATTAAGGCCTCCACTCAAACCACGAATATGTTGACACAAATGCTCAACTCCAACACTCAAGCTATAGCTAGATTAGAATCCCAACTTGGTCAACTAGCTAGTGCCGTGAGTGAAAGAGAGAAAGGAAAATTTCCGAGTCAACCCGTGGTCAACCCTAAGGATACAGGATGCAGTTCATCCTATGAAGCTCAAGTGAATGCAATCCATTCACTTCGGTCAGGTAGACAGGTCGATAATCAAGTGAGAACTCCCCCAAGTCAAACTTTTGATCCAGTACAAATTCATTCTCCTTCTCCTTCTGATAAATCTATTCAATAATCACCCTCCTCAGATGACCAAGAACCTAAACTGGAACCTGAGCCTGCTTTTGATAAGTTTAGACCAGTTGCTCCTTTTCCAGATAGACTCAGGCTTAGGAACGGAACCTGAGCCTGCTTTTGATAAGTTTAGACCAGTTGCTCCTTTTCCAGATAGACTCAGGCTTAGGAAACACTCCCCTCAAGAGGAGAAGATCCTAGAAACATTCAAGCAGGTTAAGGTCAATATTCCTCTCTTAGATGTAATTGAACAAATTCCATCTTATGCTAAATTTTTATAAGAATTATGCACTAAGAAGAGGAGAATAAATGTTCCAAAGAAAGTCTTTTTAGCCTCCAATATCAGTAAAATGCTATCAAATCCCATACCTTTGAAATGTAAAGATCCAGGTTCCCCCATCATTTCATGTATCATTGGTAATACTCACATTGATAAAGCGCTTTTAGACTTAGGGGCCAGTGTCAATTTGCTTCCATATTCAGTCTACCAGCAATTGGGTTTAAGTGTACTGAACCCAACCAAATGCACCTTACAGTTGGCAGATAGATCTGTTAAGGTCCCTATGGGTGAGTTAGAGGATGTTCTGATTAAGGTTGGAGATTTTATTTTTCCAGTAGATTTTGTAGTCTTAGAAACACAGCCTGTTTTCAATCCCAAAGGACAGACACTTGTCATCATAGGAAGACCTTCCTTAGCCACTTCTAATGCTCTCATCAACTGTAGAACTGGTCAAATGAAGCTGTCCTTTGGGAATTTGACTGCTGATCTCAACATTTTTAATCCAGGGGACCAACCAAATAATCAGCCTCTAGAAATAAACTACATTCAGGAAAGATCAGAAGAAGAAGAGTTTGATTTGAGTTTTGAGGAAATTTTTGTTGAAGAGTTAGAATTTTTAGAAGAAGCAGATGAGGTCCTTGAGAATAATAAAACTGTGTTAAACATGTGCTGCTTTGAATTAAATTTTGAAGAACTCTTTCTGTCCTTGAGAATAATAAAACTGTGTTAAACATGTGCTGCTTTGAATTAAATTTTGAAGAACTCTTTCTTAATGAACTTAGATTCTTGGAGAATAATCAACAACCAAAATTTCAGAACTCTACAGAAGAATTGATTGTTAGAAAACAAAACTTTAAGAAATGTAAAATGCATGACACCAATAATATCTACCTTACTTTGTTGCAAGAATTATTGAACACCCCGAACTGCTTGGAATTTCACATTATTGATTATATCATTTTGAATTTATTTAAAATTCGGGGAAGAATTTTTAATAATAAGGTAGGATTCAATGTAGAATACGAGCTCTTCGTGTTGAACACTTCATTCTACATTATTTGTTTTGTTTATTTCAGAATAATAAAAAGAATTTATTCTTCTCTCATTCGAGAGTTTCTTATGATCAGTTAAAAAAAATAGAAAAAAAGAAAAAAAAATAAAAAAAAGAGAAAGAAGAATAAATTTTTGATTTCATCATCCTCAGACCAAAGGTAATTGCAGATTTTTATCAGCTGATCAAATGTAAGTACTTCACTTCTTATCTGTTTTACTTTGTGCATCATAGAGTTTGCATTAAGGACAATATAAAATTTATGTGTGGGGGTGAGAATTAGTTAATTTTTCTCTTTGTTTTACATTTTTTGTTGCATTTTTGTTATTTTTTTTCTTTTCCTAAAAAAATTTATAAAAATATCGTCACTTGCCAAATTGATAGAGTTATGTAATAATTGATTTATTTGATAAATTTTAAATTTTCTAATCTGTTATTTACTCAAGTTCACGTTTTATGATAACTCTAAATAAAGTTCTTAAGAAATAATTTTTAAAATAGTATACTTTACTTAAGCCTTAACTTAGATTTTTATTTAAAATAATGGAATGCATGCTTAGCTTAGAGTTAAAAATAAATTTTCAAAGTGGCTTGACTTACATATTTTTCAGAATATATACACATATACATATAAAAAAATTACAAAAAGAAGAGTGCGAAAAATGGGCACCAAAAGAAAAAAAACTCTTAAATTCAAGGTGATTCTATCTTATAAAGCCTAAGCTGATCGAGTAATTAAGCCCAAGGAGTATTTCCATACTTAATGACCTAAGCCTAATTGGGTTGGGATCCATTAGCCCAAAACGCGTTAAATGGTCGCTTAGAAAGCCCGTTAAAGTAGAAAAAAATCACCAAGGAAAAAAGAGTTAAAGATAATAAAAAAAATAAAAAAAATAAAAATAAAAAATAAATATTTTATATATGTATATATGGTCTTGAAAAATGTTTTAGATCAATCAACTTGAATATTATTTTAAACAAAGAGTTAGCATGTTCTTTTCAAAACTTTTAAATTAAATTTCTAAGTTTGGCTTGGTTTTGTATTGCTACAATGAGAAGATTTTCTAGGAAATATACCTTAGAGTTATATATAAAAATGTTTTCTTGAGTGATAACTGGCTCCAATTAGATTATCTAAAAGTTATCAAGTGAATTTAGTTATTTACTGACTTCTTTAATTTGGCAAGTTGACCGAATTTTATGGGTATATTCACTGCAAACCCTCACGAGACTACAACTCGTCCACTAGGGTAACCTAGGGGTTTAAAGGCTTGTTGTATGCGCTAAATACAACCGCGATTCCTGCGAAAGTGAGTTAGGATTTTCTTTTTATTTTCTTTGCTAGAGGACTAGCAAAAGTTTAGGTGTGGGGGTATTTGATAATCATATTTTATTACAATTTTATACCCTCATTATCTATTTTATATGAATAAATATACCACTAATAATTATTTTTATCTTTTAATTGCAGGTTAATGAAGAATAAATCTCAAACTCTCATCTCTCAACAAATGGTGGCCATGTTAGCCCTACCTCACTGCTTGTTAGTTCTAGCTGCCCTCCTGTTAGTTCTATCCCTTCTCGAGTTAGTTCTACTGCGGGCTGGCGTTATTTCTAGATAGCACAAGTGTGTGTTCTGTTGGCCATGTTAGCCCTACCTAACTGCTTGTTAGTTCTAGCTGCCCTCCTGTTAGTTCTATCCCTTCTCGAGTTAGTTCTACTGTGGGTTGGCGTTCTTTCTAGCAAAAGTGTTTGCTCTGGTGGCCATGTTAGCCCTACCCTCACGCTTGTTAGTTCTAGCTGCCCTCCTGTTAGTTCTATCCCTTCTCGAGTTAGTTCTACTGCTGGCTGGCGTTATTTCTATCACAAGTTTTTGCTCTGGTGGCTATGTTAGCCCTAGCTTACTTCTCATTTAACATGAAAATACTTACAACACACAACAACAACGTAGTTGTCTGTAAATGTACACGCAAAACAATTAACAACATATTAACAACATGAACATACTTACAACATTGAATACACAACAAAAACCTTGGAGAAAATTAAAATAATATTTACAAAAAAGGTGAATCGCGTGCATACAAAAGAGCAGCACAAAACCTTGCTCTATATTTTGCACAATCTCCTTTTGAAATTGTTATCGACCGTTTTTCGACAATGCTGTTAATGAATTCAATCATAAAGATCCCGCAATCTAACGTTCTGCATTTAAGGGAAAAATATTACAATATTGAAAATGACAATGAAACAAAAAAATGAACAATTAAATTAGAAATGCATGAAACACTTACGGTCCTTGTTGTGGCACGGCAACTGACACAAGACCATGATGCTCCAATTTCCCCAATCCCCAATTACTCTCAATGAAACTCATAAACTTATTTATAAATTTCACAGCATCGGCGGTATAAATGGGGGAGTTGATTGAGGAGTAGTGATAGAATTTTGTCTCCTCTCTCACTAACTCTACCAGGTGCCAATGTCCGGAGCTGACAACCGGGATCAGAATTCTTTTACACTCCAAGAACTTCTGCTGAGAAACATTTTCCTTCATTCGTTTTGCCACCATTTCAAGATTTCCTTCTAGAAATGCTTGCTAAAAGATGCAATAATGTCAACATTGTGGGATAACATAATAATAATATCCACCAATTAGTGAAAAAAACAAGGATATACTTACTGCAAGCCAAGGTCTTGTGACATGTATCTTTCGATCATAACTATCAGTTGTTTCAATCTTGTTACAAAGCCGAATAACAAATGCATCGATCACCTACAAAAATTACCATGAATGAATAAAATAGTTAATATAAATTATTTTATATACAACATCAAACAATCAATAACACAATTGTTTAGAACCTACATCGTCACTGAGTTCACCTCCCGTTAATAGTATATAAGCATCTAAGCGAGATACGCTTGCTTCGGCACACTTCCAAATGTACGTATCACTATATGCAAGTACATTGTGAGAAAATTGCTACTAGAATTAAGTAAATTCAAAGATTATTATTAGAATAAGTCAGTAACAGTTACCTGTTCATTCTCGATTGTAGAAAGTCTTCAATTAATTTGTTCTCATAATCAAACGCCAGTGCCTTACCTGGATAGTCTCTAGATGTAGGTATGAAGCCTTCTTCATTTTTGTACTTTTTTTTCCCATCAGGACTATCCAATATCTGGATGACACGTCTCTTCTTTGTGCCTTCCTTTGGTTGATCTAGAGGCATATAAGGTGAAGTAACAGAGGGTCCATCCTTCCTCTCCCTCTTTCCGACAGCCCGTTTGATAGATGGCGTTTCTCTGTTATTCTCATTACCACCTTCATCTTTTTGAGAAACATCTCTATAGAGTCGAGAAGGCATATAATTAACAAAGAGTTACACAAGAATTATATGGAAAATATAAAAATTAAAATTGCAAGAAAATTTAAAAAACTAAACTCACCGAGCATCTTCTAAAATTCTCACGTCTCTTGCGCTCATCACAAAGTCATCACATAAATCGGCTTCCCCAGTTCCTTCCAAATTCTCATATTCCTTAGCTTCCATATCCTCTTTGATTTTTTTTCTTCAGTTACATTTCCGTCATCCTCTTTCTCCTTGGTTTTTTTTGGCATCTAGCACTACGCTCTTCTAATTCTCGTAATTCTGTAGTGAGCTCATTCAACTCGTACGTCTTCTCCGCAATTAAGAAAATTAATTCAGCTTTCCTTGATTCCTATTTGACCAAAAAAAGCTAGTATTAGTACGTATACTATAGTTGCAAACATAGATACTAACAAAAGGGACATAAAATAATGAACTATTAGAGCAACGATATGTACAAATACTATTGGCGATGCCGTATGAATAAGAGGAGTATTCTCTTGGCCATTATCCGTAACCAACTTCGGGACTCTATATAATTTGTTCATAGTAGTCCTCCTCCACTTTCCAGTACTCTTCACACAAAAGAGCGGCGGTAACCTTTCAATATCTGAAGTGTACTCTAATTCCCCTACTTTTTCATAAAACCAAACCTACAAAAAAGAAACTACACATTAGCATGTGCATAAACAATAATCATTATCAAAATGAAAAGATATACAAAATAATGTTCATGTAACTCACCAGTAAAACGGAGGAAAAACCACCCATGTACCCGGCATTTGAGCGCTGACCTAATTCCCGCATACTAAGAGACTTCTTTGATTTACTCATCTCTTTGCAAAGAAGAGTGAACACCGCATGGCACCAATTATATTTATGCAAAGTTGATAACTGCTCCGCATATCTAAACGCCCACAAGGGACATGTCTTACATGTCCGCGGGCATAATATGAAGCCGATAATGAAAGCCACAATAAGTTTCACACATATTATAGGGTCTTCATTAATCATATCTACAATCATCTCGGCCATTCTATCGCGCTTCCCCGAAATCACCGCCTTCTTTTCCTCATCGGCTTTCTTATAATTCTTTACAAAATAGGTGTAGATTGTATTAGCAATTCAAGGTGATTCTATGTTATAAAGCCTAAGCTGACCGAGTAATTAAGCCCAAGGAGTATTTCCATACTTAATGACCTAAGCCCATTTGGGTTGGGATCCATTGGCCCAAAACTCGTTAAATGGTCGCTTAGAAAGCCCGTTAAAGTAGAAAAAAATCACCAAGGAAAAAAGAGTTAAAGATAATAAAAAAAATAAAAAAAATAAAAATAAAAAATAAATATTTTATATATGTATATATGGTCTTGAAAAATGTTTTAGATCAATCAACTTGAATATTATTTTAAACAAAGAGTTAGCATGTTCTTTTCAAAACTTTTAAATTAAATTTCTAAGTTTGGCTTGGTTTTGTATTGCTACAATGAGAAGATTTTCTAGGAAATATACCTTAGAGTTATATATAAAAATGTTTTCTTGAGTAATAACTAGCTTCAATTATCAAGTAAATTTAGTTATTTACTAACTTCTTTAATTTGGCAAGATGATCGAATTTTGTGGGTATATTCACTGTAAACCCTCACGAGACTACAACTCGTCCACTAGGATAACCTAGGGGTTTAAAGGCTTGTATGCGCTAAATACAACTACGATTTCTGCGAAAGTGAGTTAGGTTTTCTTTCAGTTTTTTTTCTTTGCTAGAGGACTAGCAAAAGTTTAGGTATGGGGGTATTTGATAATCATATTTTATTACAGTTTTATACCCTCATTATCTATTTTATATGAATAAATATACTATTAATAATTATTTTTATCTTTAATTGCAAGTTAATGAAGAATAAATCTCAAAACTCTCATTTCTCAACAAAAAGCCCTTGATTTATTGAAGAAATGAAGCCCATGGAAGCAAACAATTTCTTTCAATATTCAATGAAGTGTTGAAACCCAAATGAAGAAAAAATGCCAAAGCCCAAAAGAAGCCCATTGGAAAATCAATTTCTAAATTATCCAAAAGTCCAGAATCAATCCGAGTAGCCTGTAGAAGCCGGAGAAAATCAAAAAATCCAATATGAAAAGAAATCATATTCAAAATGGTTAGCCACAAAGAAACGACGATATCTCCTAACCCGAAAGGCAGAATTTAACATATAATATATGAAAATCACCTATCTCGACGAGACGAAGCTATTCGTGAAATCAGAATTTGGATATAGTGGGTATTGATGTTGGCATCGATGTGGGCATCGATGTTGGCATCGATACCAGCATCGATGCCAGTTTACTGTAGCGCGAGCCAATGACTGATTTTGTTTTTTTAGGGCTTAAGTTTTATCCAATGGCTCTCATTCACTGATATTTACTATAAATAGGAGTAGAGAGTGAGGGTTTAGAGGGGTGAAAATTTTTGTAACTCCTTTTGGAGAGGAGAGCTACTCTTAATTGAGAAGGCCTTCCAAATTTATAACTTTTTGTTACAATTAATAATAATAATTTTTTCACCACTTTAAATATTTCTTCTCTTTGTTGGATGATGAAGATGGAGATGAAGAATTATTTAGAGGTTTGCATTTCTTTTCTTTTTCTCTTTTATTTTTTTTATTACTTATTAGTTTAGATTTATTTCTATGCTTATAATTAGATTTTATTTTCTTGTTAAATAGCCAAGAGGCTATAACCCTATTGCCTTAGATTTATTTTATGCTTATAGATTAGATTTATTTCATACTTATAGAGTAGATTTATTTTCTTGTATTTAATTCTTGTAATTTATTTTGTAGTTTAGATTTTGTAATTTATTTTATAGTTAGATTTTAATTTCTTGCACTATTCACCTTGAGGCTAGAACCCTCTTGGGTTTAGTTTTTCTTTTTGTTTATTTTTATTTTGTTTGATTCGCCTTTAGGCTAGAACCCTCTAGGGAATCACCCTTTTCTAAGAAGTAGGTTCAATTTTAGATTACCCATATCTATAATTGAATCCACCATCTTTAATTTCTTGCATTTTTTTTATTCTTGAATTTTATTTTTCATTCTTGATTTTTATTTGATTTTTCCTTCTTGCCTTATTAATCACATTCATTCTTTGTCACATCCACTCTCACTTACATTTTTCGCCTAATTACACATCATTTTCACTCTCTCAATCTCTTCACAATCACATTCACTCATCACTCCTATTTTGTCACGCACACAACATAAGAACCGATTTTATATTTTCTCCTACAAAACTCCTTCCTCGTGGGATCGATATCTTTATACTATAACTTGACACGGTTGTGCACTTGCAACATTTTTGGTACATGTTTATACCACATCAGTGAGCCAAATGCAATCTCATTGCTGCTGTGAGAAGCTTATTTCTGCAGTACTTTCCCAATGCTATGTGGACAGTCGACACATAAATCGATAGTCTTCGAAAGGTTGACTGAGCCTTCAACAATTTCTTCGTCAAGAAGAAGACGCTTTCGCCCGAAGAAGCAAGCATCTAAGAATAGTCACATCGAAGTGACGATTAACATGGTTGGCAAGGGTAAAAGCAAAGTTTTGACTGATTCCTAAAAATCTTCTGATCCTAAATATTCTTCAGGATTAGGTGAAATGCTTGTTGAAGGACAAGGGGTGTTCTAACACACTCGTACTCGTAAGGGTATAGTGGTTCCGTTAGATTACTAACGATTAGTGGGAATCACAGACGAGTCTAAGCAAGAACCTGAAAACTCATCCATTGCTACTTCTTAGCCTTCCAATATAGACCAAAGTGAACAAGCAAGTTCTCACATGGCAGGAAATGAGGAAGAGTTAGCGTGGCAGCTAGAAGAGCAACAATCGACCATTCGTCAGCAATAGGAGTCCATCAGACACCTGGAAGCAATGGTGGAGAGACTCTATGAGGAGAAGGAAAAGAAGAAGAAGAAGGTTCATTCCCAAGCCTCGGGATCTAGGCGTAGATGACCTTCACCCATCGATGAAGAAAATAATCGCCGAGACCAAAATGGCAATGATGAAGACGACGATGAGGAAACTGTTGTGAAGATTTATTCTGAATCATCCGAAGCTGA